CAGTAGAAGATGGCCCAAGTCCTTGGGCCCTGTACCTGCGTGGGAAACCCAGAGGAAGCTCCTGGCTCCTGGCTTCAGATTGGCGTAGCTCCAGCCATTGCAGCCAATTGAGGAGTGAACCAGCGGATAGAAGACTCTCTCTCCGCCTCTCCTCTCTCTGTGTAACTTTGACTTTCAAATAAATAAATAAATCTTTTTTTTAAAAAAAAAGCATATTCTATATATAGTACAAATACATACAAAGGATTGAAAATGACATTGAACCCTTTATTTAGAGAGTTATAAATATTTCAGAATGACCAGACCAAGAGAGTGAAGGTGAGAATAAAAGAATACAAGTATGAGAGGTTGGGGCTAAATAATAAAATGTTTTCCTAGAATAGTAGATATAGATTTGTTTTCCAAAAAGAAGGGGCTCCATCATAAAAATAATTTATTCCCATAAGAATCATTGATGTTAAAACTAATAAGTAATAACTTGAACAATAAAAGATGTTTACTTCATCTGTAAATATTCATTGCTGTGGAGAAAACAGTTAACAATGGAGAAGTGCAGCAGGTTAAACCACAACTTGGGATGCTCACATCGCATGTGGGAGTGCCTGGACTGAGTTCCAGCTTCTCTGCTTCTGATCCAGCCTTCTGCTAATGGGCATGCTGGATAGCCACAAGTGATGGTTCATATATTTCAATCTGTGCCACATCAGAGACCCTGATGGAATTCCTGGATTTTGAGTTCAACCTTGCCAAATCTGGCTGTTTTGGACATTTAGGAAGTAAACCAGCAGATGGAAGACATTCTCATTCTCTCTCAGTCACTCTGTCTTTCAAATAAATAAACTTAAAAAAAAAAAAAAACTGAGAAACTCCTATGTCGCTCCCCCTCTTCGTGGAGGAGCAACACTGAACCCTGCGCTGTTCTTTCTGTCTGCTCGGCCTTCCCCGGGTTTGCTGCTGGTTCTTCCCGGGTTGGCTACTATCCCTTCCACCTCCGTGGAAGGGCAGTTCCCCCTGGCCACATTCCCCACTTCCGCAGGGGAGCGGCACACCGCCGGCCGGCTTTCTTCGGGGGCTGCACGGGTTCCCTTAGATGTTCCCCATAGATGTTCCCGGTGCATGCCGTCTCTCTCCTCCTTTATAGTCCTCCTCCGCCAATCCCAACTCGGCTGAGTACGCTGCTCTCCAATCAGGAGCAAGTCCTACAGTTAATTGGTTGAACTGGAGGCAGCTGTGCGGAAGCTGTTTACTTCTCTCCCAGCGCCATATTGTGGGAGAGCAGATGCATAGAATAAGTCTTAATTCCAGTAACAGTCTAGTCCGGTTTGCTCCCCACACTCCTATGCTATTAGATACCACCTTGCCAGCTGATTAAGTTGACATCACAGTAATGCGACAAATGACTGAACATCTTGAGCTTTTTAATATATTACAATATAATTAATGCACGAAGAAGAAACCAGCAGCATCACTTCTGTGGTACTCCTACCAAAAGGCATGATGTGAGTCTGATCATAGAAAATATCAGATAAACTCAGACTGAGAAGCATTCTATAAGATCTTTGGTCTGTGCTTCTGAAAATTGTGAATATCATGAAAGGCAAAGGAAAGAGAGAAAGTTTAAAGGAGGTGAAATACACAAATCTATATGTAATGTGTGATCTTGAATTTTTTTCAATAAAGGACATTGTTGGTACAACTGGTAAAATATGATTAAGGTCTGAAATTTACATAATAGTGTCAGTATTCAGTTGTGTCATTTTTGTTTTTTGTACTGTGGTTACATACGAGAATTTCCTTTTTTTAAGGGTATGTGTATTGAAGTACTTAGGGGTGGAGGAGCACCATGATTTCTTAAATTCATGTGTAAAACACTAACGTTTACAGCAGCATTATTTACAATGGCCCCAAAGTAGAACCTGCCCAAGTGTCCATTAGCAGGTGCATGGGTAAATGAAACATAGTATATGCATGCAATGGAATCTCATTCACCCTTAAAAAGAACATTCGGACACATGTTACAATATGGATGAACCTTGATGACTTTCTGCTAAGGGAGGTCAGTCACAAAAGGACAAACATGTGAATCTACTTACTTGAGATATCTAGGGTACAGTAGTCAAATTCAAGGAGACTGAAAATAGAATGGTAATTGCCAGAGGCTGAGAGAGGGGCGTGGAAAGTCATCTTTTAATGGTATAGAGTCAGTTGGGAAGGATGAAAATGTTCTGGAGAGTGATGGTTGCACAGCAATGGGAATGTGCTCAGTGCCAAAGAATCATACACTTAACATGGTAAATTTTACATTATGTATGTTGTACCACAATTCTTAAGTAAGTCACATAGAGATGGAAATAAAGGAAAAATATAAAATGAACATCTAAAAATTTAGATGGAATTCAGAATAGAGGCAGAGAAACCAATTAAAAGGCTGTTGTAATATCCACTGTGGTCATGAATGGAGCTGAGACTGATAAAAGTGGTATAATTTAGAGGTTGACAGGATAATATTTTGGGG